ACTGAGTGATTAATACGATTTTTATATGGAGCAAGTGTTAATTCTGTTGCCTTAAAGAAACCAGATCATTTGGTAACTTTAAATTGCTTCTGCTGATCGCTGTCAGCTGGACACTGAACTAAAAGTATATAAAAGCCAGGCTAGTATTATTGCTATTATTATTAGCAGCAGTAGTATTAGTATTTTTTGCTGTTGAGATTCCATGTCTTACATATAAAGACATCTGTAATGTGTCATTTTTTTGTCTCTACAGTGGTGAAAATGCTGTTGCTGCTTATAGCTCAAGACCAGAAATATTGTATGTGTGCTAAAGAATGTAAGACAAACTTTTGTTAACAGAGACAAATGTCTGTAAGACAGACTTTTGTTAACTGAATACACTTACTGGTCACTTTATTAGGTACACTTTGCTTGTGCCTGTTAGAATGTAATGACAAACCTGTTGTTGAATCAGTGATGCCTCGGTGTGAGTGCCATCATGACACTGCACATTAAACCCGATTTTCATTCCAACCTTTACTCCCTTCAAGCTGGGAAAATGTAGCGGTCAGAAAAACAATACCAACATAAATTGCTATTATACTATTTGTATTGTTACTTTAAGGGTGCTATCATGAAATCAAGGGGTGCTTGAAAAAAATGTCTATCTATGATAAATCTGTGACTCACAACATCCCATTTGGCACCATGCCACGTTCAAAGTCTCTCAGATCATTTTTGTTTTCTATTGTAATTGTTGATTTGACTGATTAGCCATTTTGTTAAAGAGCAGTTGAACATATGTCCCTAATAAAGTGACCGGTTAGTGTATATAACAATTACAAATACTAGACATGGCTTATCTTTCTATTTCCTAAGAAAATGATTTGGAAAAAAAAGTATATTGTACTTTTATTGTACTGTACTTGCAAGTGGGTGGTCCCTATTAAATTCACTTGTTTTGAAGAGTAGATATCAACCTCTTCATCTAGTCATTTTTGTATTTAATTTTATCCATTTACTTATTTTTGTGTGTGTGCAGCAGAAGGAGCTTATCTTCATGTTCATCCAAATAGACTGCAGTTCTTTGAATATGACTCCATCTCATTAAACTGCTCGGGGTTTCATGGCCCAGCAGAATGGAGAGTGATCAAAAAGCTTGGCTTAAATTCTACTCAATGGGACACATCAACAAGAACTTTGTACATTAAACCTGCCTTTAAGTCACACAGTGGAGAATACTGGTGTGAAAATGAAGATGGAGAGAAAAGCAGCACTGTCAACATCACCATCACTAGTATGTTTACTAACCACTAACTTCACATTTTTCCAAAATTTCAACATGCTACTAAGACTCAAAAATCAAGATGGACTTGAGTTAAATGTGTTTTTACAGCCATCTTAACTTTAGTCGGGGGGGATGTCAATGTATTCATTTTTATTATAAATCTTCTTGTTTTTTGAGGAGGAGATGTGATCCTGGAGATTCCCGCTTTTCCTTTAATGGAGGGAGACAATGTCACTTTGGGCTGTAGAAAAAAAGGAATGCCTTCAAATCTTCCAGCTGATTTTTACAAGGACGGTCACTACATGGAAACTGGATATGCAGGAAAAATAACCATTCCCCATGTTTCCAAGTCTAATGAAGGACTGTACAATTGCATCTTTTCTGAATCTCAAGGGAAATCACCAGAGAGCTGGATGGCTGTGACAGGTGAGCTATGACATTTTTTTAGCACAATGGATGCATAATATTTTCAAATAAACTATACAGTTCTGCATTTGAGCAAATGCAATGCACAAATATACACGCAATAGTCTCTTTGCTATATTCTAAACTTTGCTAGAAGAAAATTAAAGTTTTAAAACAGGTCTCTGCAGTCTCTGCTTGCATGTAAGAATATAAAATATCAGGCATACTAAGGAAATGCTTGAACTGAATTTTATTCAAGAATAAAGCCACACTTTGGGGTTTGTAAAGCTCTAGTTTTGTAAGGCACAGTGTTGCTTTGCGCAATATCAGCATCAGCCTTCAAACATAATTATAATTTTCACTCTTTCATGTCCCACTATATAATGTTCAGATTTAGCATAGATTATGATTGAGTAAGTGGAGATAATATTTCATCATTATTATTTTTTTTTAACATAAGTCAGATAACTAATGTAACTAGGACAATGTTAACTTGAAGAAAGGTGTATTTAGCACATAGAGGGTGGAAAAGGTGAGTAAAGAAGAAATACTCAATGCATCATGGAAATCCCCCAGTAGCGTAGACCTATTGTAGTGTAAATAAAGGTGGATTCAGGAGCAACTGATCCAGCCCAAATCTTAAGTCTAATCTTAAAAGTAGAGAGGCTGTCTCCCCAACCTAAACTGGAAGTTGGTTCCACAAAATAGGGGACTGAAAACTGAAGGCTCTCCCTCCCGTTCTACTTTTAGATACTCTAGGAACAACAAGTAAGCCTTTAGTCTGAGAGCGCTCTAATGAGGAATTTTTAAGGACATCTTGATAATAATTAATTACAGTACTCCAGTATAGAAGTAATAAATGCATGAACAAGTTTTTCAGCGTCATAATCCTATCTCCAGAATTATTAGAATGAATCGTCTGCTGACCATGACTGTGCAAAAGGTCATTGCAGTTTGTTTTGAGTTATTGATTTAGTTGATCTAGTGAGAAACTAACACTGTCTTCACTCACGTCAAGGGAATATAGATTAGATTGTTATCCATTTCATCATCTTGAAATACTTAACAAAAATTAACAAAATACTATATTGTATATTTATTGTGTTAGCAGCACATGTTGCTCCCACACCTCAGGAGACAATACCTCAAGATGATCAAGAGACTGAACAGAAGAGCTCTCCATCCAGGTCCACTGGACTCTCCATCATATTGCCTGCTATGTTGATCATTTTGGCTGTGGATGTGATAATAGTGGCTGGACTACATTACTGCCAGAAACACACAGGTTTCTTTCTTTCTATATTTGTGCATTTACTTATTTATTGTGCCAATAATTTAAGGTGAACAGAAAATTAAATAATACAATTTAATTCATATGATGTTCATCGAGGTAGATATCAGAAGAAGTATTTTGCTCAGTTTGGATGTGCAGTAAAGCACTTATAATAACAATAGATTAATATGTTCAGTAGCAAAACAAGGCAGAAAGAGAAATAATTTTTGGAATTATTAAATGGATGTTTATTAATGTAAGATTACTGGTTACTAATTTCTGATTCTAAAATTCAGCAAGATGTGCCAGTTTCCTGTTTGTTCTTTAACTTTTTATTTATTGTTCTTCTTTTTATTTTATTTTGTTCCACCTAGTAGCAAGCTCTTACGCTGTCATGTCAGTAACAGGTGAGTAGTTTATAAATTCAAGATTCAAGGTCTTTATTGTCAATACAACAACATACACAGTATACAGCGTACCAAAATGCCGTTTCACCACAAACCCCCCATTTTGCATTTATGAGAATATAAAAAATAGACAGTGTTGGGGAATACATTACGTTACGTATTTAAAATACAAAATATGAGTAAATCTATTCAGTTTAAAAAGGTGGTATTCAGAATACAGCTACTTTGTTGAAATAAAGGGATTACATGGCGGTCTTTTCTTGTTTCACAAATTAGGCTATGCCCTCTCTATTTTTGGTAATTCCATGCCGGTGGAAACCCAAACAAAACATGCATTAAGAGGCTCTAATACCTAATGTCTCAATCTCGCGGCCCATGTCACCCCTACTTGCTAATAATGATGTGAAGAATTTTTTTTATTTATTATTATTTAATATGAAGGCAATAGGCAGAGTGTTACAGGCATAGCCCTAAAGAATGTAGCCTCATGGGCAGTGAAGTCCAGTTGTAAGTAATTATTAAGACTCGACTGTACACTGTGTTCGTGTTTTACTCCGAAACAATACATTCTGTTGGAGCAGCCTTTAAACGCCTCTCTCTGTCTCTCACTAGCAAAGTTGACCCAGACAACAAAGTAACGCTATTTTTTGGCTACGAGCCCGACACGGAACCAAACGTATTAGCCAGAAACCTTTACTACGGTTCAGAGCCGCTGACCTGTTTTATATTGAGTCACTATTGAGTAACGGAATACGTTACAAAATACATTTTGGAGCATGTATTCTGTAATCTGTAGTGGAATACATTTTAAAAGTAACCTTCTCAACACTGAAAATATATCTAGAAACTAGATATATTAAACTAGAAATGACAAATAAATAACAACTCGCTAAATTTAAGTAAAAATTAAAATGATAAAAAGATACTGCCACTAACTATATCTATGTACAATAAACACAGACAGAACAACAGACAATACAACGTGGTCATGTGCAATTGCAGTAAAGTGAGATGATTGTGCAGTAGGTATTGAATACCAGGTTCAGGTTATGGTCAGGATTTAGTAGAGAAGACAAGCCAAAGACATGTGCAAGGTGTAAAATTTGCAAATATAGCATAATGTAGATGTGTTCAGTGACCATGTGACTGAGGTGTGCGAATAAGCATATTGTTCCAAGGTCCAGTTTGTAGTAGATTTGTGGAAGTTTGTGTTGTTTTTGAGTCTTTTTGGTGAGTATTGTAAAAGTGTTTGTAAGAGTGTTTATGTTTATAGAACTCAAATATAACTTAAGTAAAAATATAATAATCTTATACTCATCTCTCCTGCATAGTTTTGAGTCTCAGTGAACTAATTGTAAAATTAGGAGGCTGTAACACAGTATCAGCAAGAGTGAGTGTTTTTATGTGAGAATTTCTTTCAAATAGACTAATGAGTAAGTTATCTTTCTGTCACCACACACTACTTATTTCAAAACTTTTTTTTTATCTGTTTCAGTGTATAAAAATGTTCAGGTAACTCATCTACAAATGGATACCTACAACAATGAGACAAAACAGAAAAAGAAATGAGGTACTCATTTTACATTTTATTATTATTATTATTATTATTGTTACTTTATTTAGGAAAACCATATAGGAAAACTATATATTTTTCTATAACTTATAGAAAAATATATATCTTAAAATATGATGATAATCATGATATCATAATTTATAGTTTTCTCTATTTGACATATATTTATATTTTTGATTTGCTTGATTGTTCACTGACAATGGGACACAAAGGGCATTATATTAGTGCTGAAATAGACACGAACCTATTCAGGGTGTACCCCACTTGCTGGGGAAGTGGAATTAGTAAGAAAGTTCCTCCAGATGATGATTGTTATGAATTGACAATGAATAAAACAAATTACATTAAATTCAAATATCCAAGTCAAGTCAGTTCATTTAAAAGCACAAAAAAACAATACTGGCCAAAATACTGTTCAACTATATCATGAAAGCAATAATAAAAACACAATACACATAACCACAAGAAAAAACTAAAAAGAAATGTGAAGTCTCAGTCTAGATTGAATGCCAAGGCATGAAAATTAGTGTTGAAACAGGTTTTGAAAAGTGTTACTGAGTGTTGGTGAGGTCCTAATAGGAGGCCAGGCTGTTCCAAAGTTTACGGGAAACTAGAACAAAGATACAAATTCCTCTCTTCTTTAACTTCTTGGTACAACCAGAAGCAATTTAATGACTGAAACAAATAAAATATTACAATCAAATCCAAACGCACAGGCATTTGGATTTGGATTTTATGTTTTATCCTAAGAGCCTCAGTGGGTAAAAACTAGCTCTGACATCAGCATTTTCTTTCTTAAATGTAAAGATATTGTCAAAAATCACCCACCAGGCTTATTACCAAATGTGTTTTTCAGAGGTTCAAGATCACCTTTGAAGTAGGAATCTACACTTAATAAAAGATCACTGAACATGATTAAAAGTGATGATTCTGCACTATGATGCGCTTCTAAACCATTCTGAAATGATCCATCCAAGTGATGGTTGAATAGATTTCTGATTTTGATGCTTTTCATGTTGCTTTAGCATTTACTTTCATCTATTCAAGATTCGTTGCTCTTAAGCCATCAGCTTTGAAGTAAGAGCTACGTGTATCTTACAACATTTATTTTTGTTGTTGTTAAACAACCTTGTTCTCCCTCTATTTGTTAATACCTCATTAGAGATGTTTTTTATAAGACACTGCATGCTATCACTTTTCAATACGGACACTGTTGTCAGCTGCTATTACAAGTTCTCTCAATACAGATGAGTTTGAGTTGAACATGTTTACTGGCAGATGTCTGACATGGAAAAAAAAAAGAAATAGGAAAGAAGTGATTAAAGATTAAGTTTATCTAAAATTCCACCGTA